ACCAAACTTGGCACGAATACTCAATAGGCCCAAATGTGAACACTAGTGAAGCTTGGGGAAAATAGACATTTGGGAGTGGTCATTCCTGGGATTTATAGTTCACTTATAATTGCCCCAGCAATGATAGAATTGGGCCAAACTTTCCACACAGAACCGTCATGACCAACAGAAAATACTGTAACCCCTCTGACACCCCCTCGCGACCCCCTCAGGGGTCCCGACCCCCAGGTTGAGAGACACTGCTTTACAGGATGCAGCTGGGGGAAAAAAGACCTTTCTGACTTTTAAAAAATCATTACACCCACGCATTCCGGGTATTTTCAACTCCACAGTTTCTGTTTCCATGAAACGTAACATACCGTAAATAGACCATAATCGCTACTTTAGATTCAGAATACATTCCCAAGCCTTCTGAATTCATAAACTACTTCTATGCATGAAAAAAGTAAACTGTGATCCTAAGTACACTCAGAAATGGATTACGTTGTATTCAGATGGATTTAATCAAAGTAAGCCAATCTGAATACAATGTAATCCAATTCTGAACTGATGTGGCAAAGGTTGTGATTTTAGAATACAGTAAGGGGACTTGGTACCATATCTGTTAGTGTTCCAATGTTCTCCTTAAATCTAATTTGAAGTTTTCCTGTATGATGATGTCCAATTTAATGTTGGCAATAGGACCAGAGAAGATTTTTTTCCAAAAATGTTAATTGTAAAGGTCCAGCTCTTTCTTTCTAGGCAGTCCTTGAAAATCAAATACATTCCCTTCAATCCGATTAGAAGAAAAGCAAATGAAGACAACACATACATTGGCAATCAAAGTGTTAAAAACAGAGAGAGCTAGGTTTGTTTCAGAGCTGCCAACTCACCTGTGCGGAAATTGTGGGTGGAAAGCAGGTAGGTCAACTGGATGGAAGCACCAGGCTGTTCCCCAAACCCTTGCCCACTCCAATCCGAGGTAAAGAGTTAAAGGTTTGTCCAAATATCAAACAGGTGAAGGGTAACAGAAGAGATAAATCCTTATCCTGAAATAGCAGGGAGTCAGTGAAAGAAGGCGAGTGTCTTCTGAATAGAAGCAGGCGCTGCCAAAGCGCCAGGTGAAGGGAGGTGGGTGGGTCTGAAGGTCACACAGAGGAGGAGATACAGGTAAAGCCAGGCAAGGGAGGGTGGCTTATTGTAGGAGGAGTGTAAGGCTGGGCTGGCAGAATTCCTGTGAGTGAGCAGGTAGCCTTTGTTCTGCAAATGTCTGGTCACTCTCCACCCCCTGGAAAGAAAGCCTGCTGCATTCACAGGAAACAGACAGGCCACAGTTTGAGAGAGTTCCCCAATTGCTCAGAAGCACTCTCATCCTTACAAACACATCATAAGTCCCAGATTTCAAAACACATCCCAGGGTTCAAGCCTTAAGCGAGATGACTCAAAGCAGCCCTGTCTCACTATGTTTCTTCACTTTCTGGAACTTAGGGACAGTTAGGATGAATCTACGCTGCCCTATATCCCAGGAGCCGATCCCAGGCTATCTGCTTTGAACTGGATTATATGAGTCTATACTGCCAGATAATCTTGGAAAAACAGAAAACCTGGGATCAGATCCTAGGATATAGGACAGTGTTGATCCAGACTTTAGGCCCTTCCACACAGCCCTATACCCCAGAATATCAAGGCATAAAATCCCACATTATCTGAGTGTGGACTCAGATAACCCAGTTCAAAGCAGATGTTGTGGGATTTTCTGCTTTGATAATCTGGAATATAGGGCTGTGGGGAAGGGTCCCTAGACAAGCATCATCCTTTTTTATCAGGGGATCTCAAACTTTTAAAGCAGAGGGCCGGTTCACTGTCCCTCAGACTGTTGTGAGGCTGGACTATGTTTTGAGAAAAACATGGACAAACTTCTATGCGCAGATATATTATTTGTAATCCAAAAAAAGAAAGAACAATACAGTATTTAAAATGATGAACCATTTTAACCAACATAAACTCATTGGGAATGTTGGGCCTTCTTTTGGCTGATCAGATAGTCAAACTAATTAATGTTGTGGTGGTGGTGGTGTGACCTAAAGTTGTTTCAGACTTAGGGTGACTCTAAGTCAGTAGTTCTTAACCTTTCTAATACCGTGACCCCTAAATAAAGTTCCTCATGTTGTGGGGACCCCCAACCATATTTTTGTTGCTACTTCATAATTGCTACTGTTATTAATCATAATGTAAATATTGGATATGCAGGATATATTTTCATAGTTACAAACGGAACATAATTAAAGCATAGTGATTAATCACAAAAACAATATGTTTGGGGGAGTATGGATAACTGATAATGGGACTGCCAGTACCTTCAACCGATTCAGCCCTGATTCCACACACCACTGAGACCCCCCCTCCCCCCATGAATTACAGATCTGGACCAAACTTGGCACACAGAAACCCCATGATCAACATAAAATACTGGAGGGGTTAGGAAAAACTAACAGTGATTTACAGGAGATGTAGTTCACCTACATTTGGAGAGCACTGTGAACCCAAACGACTATGGATCTGGACCATACTTGGCACAAATACTCAATATGCCCAAAATTGAACACTGGTGGAGTTTGGGGAAAATAGATTCTATATAAATAAAAATGTAATGTTAGTTTGTGGGATTAACACAACTCAAAAACCACTGGACGAATTGACACCAAATTTTGGACACTATACACCTATCATAAAAAAACTGAAAAACACAGTGAAAGAAACCTAAAAAGCCAAAAAAAAATTACATTAAAAAGCATGTGTAAAACCACATTTGTACACACACAAAACACATATACACAGACTGGGCCACAGCAACGCATGGTAGGGGACAGCTAGTCTAGTAATAAACATCAAAGGGTGTATAGACACTGTAGAATTAATGCCGTTTTAGCACCACTTTAACCACCATGGCTCAATACTATGGGATCCCAGGAGCTGTATTTTGATGAAGCCACAGAACGTTTTGGCAGAGAAAGTTTAGGTAAACGTAAAGGCTTCCTCTGACATTAAGTCTAGTCGTGTCCGACTCGGGGTGGTGGTACTCATCTCCATTTCTAAACCGAAGAGACGACGTTGTCCATAGACGCCTCCAAGGTCATGTGGCCGGCATGATTGCATAGAACACTGTTACCTTCCCACTGGAGCAGTACCTATTGATCTACTCATATTTGCATGTTTTCAAACTGTTAGGTTGGCAGAAGCTGGGACTCACAGCAGGAGCTCATGCTGCTCCCCGGATTCGAACCTGCAACCTTTCAATCAACAAGTTCAGCAGCTCAGCAGTTTAACCCACTGCGTCACCAGAGGCTCCATAAGATTTTTCTAGGTAGTGTCATTGTGCCAGGTGGTCTTTTGGTCTACCCACTCCACTTCTGAATCTGTGCAGGAACTTCCAAGTTGCCCATTCTTGTTTTGCCCCTGGAGGAAGAGCATCCGGTTGGAATTGCTTGAATTTTCAGCCCATAGGGATATTCTTGCTGTTGCTGGGGGAACATTAAGAGGAGTGGTGGTTCTCATTAAACTTTCCCTTGATTTGAGTCTACTGGGAGGAGGCTGATAGCCATACAGTGGGTGGCTGTTACAATGTTCAACATTATTTTTCTCACAATTGGCAGCAACTTCCTTCAGGGGAGGGGGAGCACTGCCAACTATCTTATAGAGTCTATCAACAGGTGTAGGTTTAAGACAGGTGCATGTTTTAGAATGGCTAAGTTGGCAGAAGCTGAGGCTAACAGTGGGAGCTCACCCCGCTCCCTGGATTCGAACTGCCGATCTTTCGATCGGCAAGTTCAGCAGCACAGCAGTTTAACCCACTGAGCCACCAGGGGCTCCAAGGCTGGATCTACACTGCCCGATATCCCAGGATCTGATCCCAGATTTATCTTCTTTGAACTGGATTATGTGAGCATACACTGCCAGATAATCTAGGATAAACAGATAATCTGGGATCAGATCCTAGGATATAGGACAGTGTAGATCCAGCTTTAGACCAGCATTATCCAGCTAGTAATAAACATCAAAGGGTGTATAGACACTGTATAAATAATGCTGTTTGGCACCACTTTAACCACCCTGGCTCAATACTATAGGATCCCAGCGCTTTTGGGCAAAGAAGGTTTAAGACCACGTAAAACTGCAAAGCCCTGGATTCCATAGCATTGAGCCGTGGCAGTTAAAGCAGTGCTGAACTGCACTTGTTCTATAGTGTGGATGCACCCAGAGTCTGGGGAAATGACTTTTTTTGGGATACAACTGGAGGATTTACAGAGTTATAGTCCAAAGGTAACTTTCACAAGCGCCGATAAACCTGTTTGTTTAAGAATTGCAACAGGTGCACGATTTGCCTAAGGCTGAGAATTTACAGCATCCAAACTCAATAAGGAAATGTTTTGTTGGACTAAAAATACTGAGGAAATAGTCTAATGCCTGGGCAATTAATGGAGCTTGTGTAAATTATGATCATATGACTGGGTGATAATAACTGTTACAGGGTTGGTTTATGATTAGGAATAGTGAGGCCCTTTCTACACTGCCATATAAAATCCACATTATCTGCTTTGAACTGGATGTTATGGCAATGTACACTCTGATAATCCAGTTCAAATACGATAGATTTTCTGCTTTGATAACCTGGATTATCTGGCAGTGTAGATGGGGACTGAGGCAATCACTGTTGTAGGAGAGAGTATGGACTGTTCTAAACTACCATGTAATCCAGAATATCAAGGCAGCTATACGGAGACAGGTCTCCAAACTATCTACATGGGACCCTTCCACACAGCCATATAATCCAGAATATCAAGGCACAACATTCCACAATATCTGCTTTGAACTGGTTTATCTGAGTCCACACTGACATATATTCCAGTTCAAAGCAGAAAATGTGGGATTTTATTCAGCTGTGTGGAAGGGGGCTTAAATATTGTTTCTGCTGTAACCAGCTGGAAAGAGCATTCACACAACTGAAAACACTTAGGCTATATACTCAAGTATAAGCCGGAACTGAATATAAGCCAAGGGACCTAATTTTACCACAAAAAACTGGGAAAACGTATTGACCCGAGTAGAAGCTGAGGTGGGAAAATCAGCAGCTACTTGTAAATTTCAAAATAAAAATTGATACTTTAATTGAGGCATCAGTAGGTTAAATGTTTATGAATATTTACATAAAACTGTAATTTAAGATAAGACTGTACAACTTTGATTAAACCATTATTCTAACCTTCTTAAATGTAAATATGCCTACATATTCTTCCAATAATAATAGAGTAAAATAATAAATGTAATAACAACAACAATAAAGTTAAATTATAGAGTAAAATAATAAATGTAATAATAATAACAACAGAATAAAATAATTTTAAAAAGGAGCTGGGGGTGGTGACGGCCGACAGGGAGCTCTGGCATGGGCTGGTCCATGAGGTCACGAAGAGCTGGAAACGACTGAATGAACGAGCAACAACAAAATAATAAATAACCTTGACTCAAGTATAAGCCGAGGGGGGTTCTTTCAGCCTAAAAAAGGGCTGAAAATTAGGTTTATATTTGACTATATACAATAATCCAGAATATCAAGGCAGATAATCCACATTAGAGTCTATGTGGATAATCCAGCTGTGTAGAAGGGGTGTATGTGTGCTATTCCATCCCCTTCTACACTGCCATATAAAATCCAGATTATTTGCTTTGACTCGTAATATGGATTATATAGAAGTGTAGAAGGGGCACCAGGGCCCATCCACACAGCCATATAACCCAGAATATCAAGACAGAATAACCCACGATATCTATTTTGAATTGGAATATCTTGAGTCCACACTGCCATATAATCCAGTTCAAAGCAGATAATGTGGGATGTTGTTCAGCTGTGTGGAAGGGATCTTAGTTTGCTTGGTGCCTTATTCAGGGTGTCCCAAAAGTCTCCACCCATAAGAAAAAGTAATAAACTCATATATTATATTATATTTCCCATTTCCCCTGTGTATGGTAACTTTGGGGGTACCCTCTATATCTACAAATTATTCTCTACAACTTAGCCACCTCTTTTTAAACATACACTGTAATAAGGAATCAAGATTCAGTTTCCAGTCCAGTCAGCCAGATTTTATATATGTAGATGACAGGTTGAGACACGAGACATAGCATTATTTTGGCCCAGCCCTGAATATAAATATTGTTAATACTGTAAAGGACAGTATCTAGAAAGACAGGTGTATTATTTCCC